TGACTGCTTTCAAAAGGACTTGACTGCGTACTCTTTGCTCTTCTCCATTTTGTCATGTGACCAGATGTCAACCATTGACTCTTCCCCAGCCTCTGTGATTTCATTTACTGTGCCCATAGAATCAACAGGCAAACTATTCTTAGCTATTGGCCGAGGATCTGGATCATTAGAAGTTTGGATTGGTGAATTAAAATCTAGCAACTTTGACAAAGCGTGCTGTCCTGATGCTCATGAGCATATAGTAAGTTTGTGCGAATTTTTTAACACTTCCACCAATTATGGTACCTAACTGTTGTGGCATATTTCAGGTTACCGGTTTAGCTTGGGCCTTTGGCACCAATTGTTTGTATAGCTGCAGCCAGGTGTGTAAAATGGATAGGACTTGGTTGCAATAGGTCCTTATCTGAGTCACCTTTTCCAAATTTAACAATATGTTGTCTCATGAGTTTACCATTTTAGAACTCATCAAAGATTATTAGTCAAAGTTTTTGCCTAAAATAGAAAGGCAATAGTTTTATTTACTGTTCTTTGTTGTTCATAATGTTAGGATGACACTGTCCGCTGCTGGATTTTGCATGACAATGTCCTGAGTGGAGTACCACTTCCTTCAAATACCACTGGCGTGAAGAGCCAATTTGATGTATGATGAAGCTATTTACATATTGTTTCGCTTACACACAAATTTACTGGTAAACTTAAAGCTGATCACTTCCCTGTAGGTTCCAAATGTATATGATTCATGCTTTGGTTTGGCATTATCCCCTGGAAACTTAGCAATGGCCGCGGTATGACATTTTTTCCTTTCTAAAGTTCTTATTAGGCTCTATTTTGTTATTTTATTTTTTTGGGTATGTAGGTCTGTATGCGCTCTTAGCACTTTGTATTTACATTATACATCAGATGACTAGAATCTAGCTTCACTCGCATGTGTTTTCTTGAGGCAAAACAAATGCATGCAATCAGCTGAACCTCAGGAGAATTAACAGTATAAATTTGTAAAATATTGAAAGATGTACATTTTGCTTGATGTTGGTTTCGGGGTTTCTATTTGGGTCATTTCTTGAGCATTAGAACCACCATGTCCTTCATGCATGTTAGGCTTAATTTTTTTAATTTAGAGCCCGCCATGTTCTTCCTGGCCTACTTCAAGCATAATTGCTTTAGATCCTCAAGTCTTGCTTAATGTGCTGTTCACAGAAAAAAGCATGAGAATAAGCGATTCCAGGTGTGTACTCCTTGAATCTCTTTCATAGTTGAAATAGCTATGCTCTTTAGCTCTCTCTTTAATAGTTATTACTGTTATTTATCAAGTATGGCCCAAGGTAATTGATCTTATCACCTTTGGCTGTTTTATTCTTTGGACCTGTACTTCTGCAGTGGCTTCTGATTTCTTATTATTTTTCCCTATTCATTTGGATTTAAATCAAATTGGCTTCCATGAAATGATTTGTTACAAATATGTTCATAGTTATCCTTTAATCAACTTGATGAGGCATTACCTGGTTTTGCAGGTTCACAGTTTTGACACTGATCTGTTAGATCCGATGTATGAGGCAAGGTTGGTTTTTAATAATATTCCGAAGCTGTGTACAAGTTTCTACTACCTTAGTGTGCATGGTAAAAGCAAAATTTTCAAGTGAGAGACCCATTCCCTCTTGCATGTTTACCCAGATTTTGCTTTGAAATAATAAAATCTAACTGCTACAAGTTTCAGTCAAGGGTCCCATCTAGCATTACATGTTTGCAAGTATTTTGCTTTAGAGATGCTTATAGTTTGGCAAAATCACCCAGGACTTTAAAAGGTGCCATTGAGTTCCTTTGGATTGGAGGGCAGCAGCTGGACCTTACATTGAACACACATCCAGATCCTGAACTTGAAGCTTTTCCTGGTTTACCTGAGAGAGAACTAATGAGCTGGAAGAATAATGCATTTTGGTCATTCGATCAATTTGAGCATATGAATAAGCCACTGGTTATCTGGGACGTTGTAGCTGCATTTTTGGCCTTCAGGCAGTCTATACCCCCTTATGTGGAGCATATATTTATTAGATGGATGAGAACCTTTTTTGGATCAGAATTTGAGGTTTCACCTTCAATCTCATCTAAAATATGTAAACTACTATCAAACACCACATCCCGTCAGTTGCACATGCTCAATGTCATTAGCAGATGTGTATTTCTTAAAGAACTCAAGGCAGAGCAGATAAATTGTAAACTGCAGGACTTCAAGGGATTTGATGGTGCAGAACCGCAGCAAAGTTTTTGGTTAAATCTGGTGTGCAACATTGAAAAGGAACTACGAGAAAGGCTTGTGTGTTTTAACTTCTTGGCCATTTTGAGAATTGTTACGAATTCCACCGCCGAGTTTTCAAAATCTAGATGCTGGACTGCTGTTGGACTAGGCCAGATGGTGCAATGGGTTGCATCTAATCCTGATAAATTAAGCTATCATGTTAAAGTTCTCACAGAAAAAATTGGAAAGATTGAGAAGAGGTACTCTACTTATTGCTTTCACCATCTTGGCATGCTTAAATTTCAGTTGCATGCTAAATCCTCTATGTCATTTCTTTTTAAGTGCTGGATCTTTCGTCTTGGGCCATTCAATACGCTTTCTTTGTGATAGAGATCAAGAAGGAAAGATTCTATTCCTTTGTTTTAATTCTCAGGTTGCACCTTAAATTTTATTCTAGACGGTTTATTGCCTAGTTTTGTTGCCATGGTGTCAATTGAACCCCTTTTGCTAGTAAGCAACAGGTGTTGCCTAAGACATGTTGAAGGTTATAAACCATATGTATATGATTCCCTATCCTTATAACAAACTACAGATTTCCCATCAGTATTTGTGTATAAACAAGAATGACATATATATATATATATATGTATATATATATGCCTGTAGTAGTATTTGTTATTCATGAAGCTCGGTGATGGGCTTCTTGTACTACTTAAAGAGTACATTTCCTGTCTTTGCTTCATTTGGATAGCCTCCTGCTGATTTGATTAACTGCTTATATTTTTTCTCTGTGGCAGACTTCGCTCCTTGTGCGATTATGTAGCGGAAGAGAGATGTAGTTTCTGTTCAGCACCTGTTCCATTTGAATCAACAGAAGTTGCATTTTGTGAGGGAGAGAGAATTGATGATGGAGTTGGGCAGAGCCACAAACTACGACGGTGCGCCATTTCCATGATGGTCTGCCCTAACACTCCTACCTGGTTTTGCATATGTTGTCATAGATATGCTTCGGCTTTAGCAAATACGGCTCTTTTTACAATGCCGAAATCTCCATTAGACTCCAATCATGTTTCTGAATCTCTCACCCCTGAGGAATCTAGAAAACCTTTGTGTCCGTTTTGTGGGATATTGTTGCAAAGACCACAACCGGATTTTCTTCTCTCCCCTTCTCCTGTATAATTAGTAAATGAATGTTTTTGGTAAGTTTGTGTAACCTCCAAGCACTTGCTCACATTAAAGAGACGAGACGTGTACGGGGAAAGAAGAGGCATGCTGTCAAAGGAAGGAAAGGAAGACTTCTGGCTGGCGTTATGCTTGTTGAGTTGAGTGGGCACATAAAGTTTAGCCAATGAATTGCAGATGGCGTCCACCCACAGGATTGATTATAAGAGCATGAAATGAAATAAGTTGATTATATGTTAGTAGTAATTTTTGAGGAGCTAGCAAGTATGATAATTCTTACTACGTACATGTCCATACTGAAAATTTCCTTTTCTCTTCTCTGAGTTTGATTCATTGATTGTACTCCATTCAATTCATCCATGTTTATACACACTTTCATTTTGTGTTTTTTTCATCCTTCACCAGAATATTGTGAAACTAGCAAGACTCGAACGGAATGATGTTCTGTTCTTTACTCGCTCTAATCTCCAAAGTTCCCCGTTTCCATTTGAGCTGGTGGTGGCAAAAAGTCTCAGCACCCAACGGCAATGGGCTCTCATGCCCAAATTTTTAATTTGGACGGGATGGGTATGTAAAATATAAGACTAGATCTAATTGAAAATAAATCCAATGATATCCATGTAAAATATACGTCTAATTGGGACTTACTCGCGGCTTTTTTGTGGGTCTTTCTTTCTCTCAAAACCTAAAAATATTATTGATTTTTTTAAAAGTCGAAAACTATCCAACAATTTTCAAACGTTTGATTAGCAAGGTTTGCTATGTCCAAATTGAACGTTAGAAAGCAAGTTTACTTTCAAATCTCATGAAATTTAGTCCTCGAAAACTGAATTTAGAGAGAAAATGATCAATTGACATAGGTTTTACCGCACGGTTTTTCCACTGCTCAAAGAATTAGAATTGATCAACTTCATCCTCACATGAATTGTACAAAATATGTATAAGATCGTCTACTAGAGGAAACATGGGCAGCGTTTTAGTCATATCATGCACAATTTTTGTTAAAAAGTGATGCTTTTATCTGTGACTAGCAGAAATATACCATGCTTGCGCACGGTAAAGAATTAATGTAATGCCCAGTAGGAGCATTACAGAGTATGAATTTAATAAAGTACTGTAATTTGTATTTGTAGTATGTTGAGTAAAAATTAGGTGGTGCAGGGGAGATAATTATAAAGATGGAAAAAAGGATACACTAACCATTAATTCAAATGACACAGCCATCTAAATCAAGAATCCAAAGGCTAGCAGAAATTTATTTGTTGCCATCTTACGTGGGATTTGGTGAGCAGCAGAATGCAATTATAAATTAAGGAAATGGAGAACCTGGCATTAGTTAAAAAGGGGATAATTAAAGTAGAATATAATAAACTTAAATATTTGTCCCACTGTCAGTGCAACGAGTTTTTAAAAAATTGTAGCCATTTAAAGTGAAGAGATAACTCCATGCAGGCAAAATAATTTCCTGTATTTGATAGAATTAAAGAACATTAATTTGGCTGCAATTCCCTGAATGGTTGGAATAAATCTGCGTACTGCAAAGGTAAATTCCGTTTGGAAAAAATAAAGGACAATAGAAGCTGGCATTCATATGCTTAGTGAACATATAAGAAGGACAAGGTTTCTCCTGGAATAAACGTAAAAGAAGTTGGCTAAGTTTTACTGGTTGGTGCATCAGAGAAGATGCAGAACTTATTGTACAAGGGGAACAACTTTTCGACTCCACGCTTGTCGAAGATGAGGACAGTATAGCAAGACTTTGTTTCAGGGATAAATACTAAAGCGTCGCCAAATTGTAGCTGATGCTCAAAAGTAAATGTGTTCCAAATTGTTGCAAACCGTCTCCGATGCATTCCAACAGTGATTGTCTTGTTTCCAGTTCGTAGGATGACCAGAGGAGTTCTGTCACCGTGTATGAAGAAGGATACAAATTTGGGCACTTTCTGTTGTTCACCAAAAGGAAAGCAGCGAATGAAAAAATAAAACAAGAGATAACTGAAGCTTACAAAATTATGTTGGTTTTCCTGAGTGAAGATCTCATAGAATGATAGACCATCAGCGATGTCTTGAACGAAATCTGGTTTCATTGCTGATGCTACTCTCTGACACTGCATTCTTTGTTATGTGTTTCATAAAAAAGGTAAGCGTACAAAGTTGGCAAATTAAACAAGGACAATGCTAAAAATTTGGAAGTGTTTAAGCATGAGAAAACTAACTTTTTGCGATAACATGTTCTGGAGCGTCCAACAAACTGGGTAGTGGATGACTCCAAGGTAAGTACCCATGCATTTTTGTTGCTGAGTAATGGAGGACGTCGAACACCAAGTTTCCGGAATGTCGAAGGAACATTGTGTCGTCTTCATGGATGATATTATTCTCGCAGAAGTCTTGCCAACCTTCTCCAAACCAAGTTTCTAAAATGCTGATAGTCCATGTTCTATAGCCTTCTCGAATAGTTATTGTACGCTGTTGATGGTTTCTTAGAAGCAGCAGAAATTGAGCAGGGAATATCTAATTATTTTGAAAAACTTTGGTTATCGTTAAAGAAGGCACATGTCATGAGGAAAAAAACTATACAGAATCAAAAGTACCTGCTTAGAACCTCTACTCCTAAAGAAGAAGCAGCATTCCATGCTGCCGGTAATATTTGGCAGAAGACTGGAGGATCCAACGCTTTCAGAGAACTCCATACTTGGTTGTTATAAGTGTAATTAGCTTCTGAGGCTGAATATTTTAGAAGGTTGTTCTTGGCAAATATATATATAGGGCCTTCATAACATGAACAGATAGCATTAATTGGCCTGTAAGAGTATCTGGTAACCAGTGAATTTATTTAAAGTGGTTGAACTAATAGTTGTAGGATCAGTAATGGATGCAGAAAAGGCAGTCTTGGAAAGATGCAGCGTGGTTTGATGTTTGAAGCCAACAGTTAAGTCATCGCACATTGTTCCAGAAGGAATGAATTGGAAAGGTAAAAGCTTTGATAAATGCACTGGAGAGTGGAACGTTCTTTGCTGCTGGCAGTCAATGCTAATTCCAAACAAAATGAATGGTACAGGATGATTATAGCGATTATTGTACTTGATGTGGTAACATTATAGATTATGGCGTTTTCAAATTAAGTTGCAAAAGGCATGCAAATTAACAGGCAAAACGTAAGAGTGTGTAGAAATACAAAGTTCAGAATCATGAAAATTCCTTAGCATTTGCTAGGCATATCAGTAGCATGATAGTGGTCTAAAAAGTGTTGAGACTTGGTGTCCTTCACCACACAAAAAGGCACCTAGGAGCCAACGCAGGAAAAGAGATAGTTTGCTTGGAAAGGAAACAATTCTAAGCTTGTCTAGCTTTTTTCTTGGGGCTGGTCTGAAGAGCTTCAGAGCTTAATTGCCTCTGCTCATCTGACTCGTCAAATTTTTGAAGAAGACAAACTTTAGCTTTTGAAGAAGACGTTCCGCCTGCTGAAAAGTAGTAACCATACCTGATTCAGTAAGATGCCTCTTCTATAGAAAAACAAATATGTCTATTCATGCACATGTGAAACAAAGATGATTAAGTAAAGGCTATAACCTGATGAAGGACAAGTAAAGGCCTGTTCACTGGAGCTTGCAACAGAAACTTGTTCATCAGAAGCTTCCTTGTAGTATACCATTGTGAAACGTTGTTTTGCATTAGCCAAGGGAACCTGTACAGGTCTAATGTACGCAAGGAATTTCTTGGATTTTAGGTCTTCATGCAGAACCTCAAGTGGTAACACCATATTCTGCAATGGACAAAACAAAAGAATTTATATACATATACATAAATACACATGCATATGTGCTGACGCGGCATGGTAAGAGCAAACCTGAAAATAATGCTCCATTGCTTCTTTTGTTGTGAACGTTAGCAGTTTCTCAGCTAAATCGCCAAACATTGTGGCTGTGACTGTTCCGGTGTCATCAGAGAGGTCAACATCAAATTTACACCTATTAAATATGCAAGTTTTATATAAGGCACAACAGAGGAAAAGAAATGATAATGTAATGAGCAGTAGCAGAAGAAATGATAAGAAACAAATAAAGTAATGATGGTCAGACCTTGGTTCAGCCTTGTGCTTTTGTTTACAAGTATTACACATGAACAAGACACCATAATCGGCAGACGTGGAGTGGAAGCATTTTTCACACCCCATGTACCAAAATTTTTGGAAAATGTGATCAAATGAGAATAATGCTTTCACCCACACATTCTGAGAATAAAGCCAGTATATGAATTAGTCAAACTATTTGAAGGCTGAAATCCACTGATAATGCTGCAATCAAGACAGTACCTTGTGTTTTGAGCTGATATTTGATATATCAGTAATTTTTTGATCTGCTTGGAAAGAGAGATCAGGATTGTATCGAGTGTATGTTCTCTTTGCAACAATGTCTGCAAGGCATTTGGCATTTCTACTTGCCCTGTGTATAGGATATTAAAATGGTAAGCCAAGCAGGGAAAAGAGCATTTTTTTATTGCGTACTCGAGGTTGAAAAATAAAAGAGTGGCACCAGCTCGTAAGTATCTCTGATTGTCAAGAAACAGAAAATGTATATAAAGTCCATAAGCAACAAATACTGAAAACTATAAGAGCAGAACCAGTTCTTGAGTTCCCTTGCTTCTTGGACAGGTGGATTCACAAGAATTGCTGAATCAAATCAAGTAGAAAGAGCCACTCCTTAAAAAAAGAAAAGGGGAAGCAACATGTGATTTGAAAAAATGAACAGATAGAAAAGGTTAGATGGCAAAACATGTAACCGGCAACTGTTATACTCACCATTATAATTTTGAACCTTTAGCCTTCTTCCAATAAGAACAGGATAGTTCTGAATTTCCGAAATAATCTTGGAGCCTTCATTGTCAATAAAAGCATTCCACATAGACAGCATAAGTGTCTGCAATCTGACATATTTGAAACAGAGGAACTATTATTTTTTTTTTTTGGAAAAGGCTGCAATCTGCAACACCAGATAGTCATTGTATACAAAAGCAAAGATTCCTTACTCTTCATTAACAAGAACCAGTTTTTGGACTCGTGCTTCCTTTGAATTAACGATGACAGTTTTTTCATCCAAAGTAGCAATAACAATTCCCATAATATCTAGTGAGAGGAACTCAAAAAATAAGACTTAAAGCATATAATAACCAAGGTACATCAGTATGGTTAAAAAGAAAGCTACTGACCAACAGAAATGTCCTTGCGGTCCATGTACTGTGCCAAGTCTGTAAAGTTGGTATACGTAAACTTTGCAGCTATAACATCCTCATCGTCTACAATCTCTTCAATAATTGTTCGACTGGTGATTATCCATTGGATTGCTAGCTCAGTGGTTCTAAAGTTTTCAGGGATTTTTTTGACCTGAACATTGGAGATGAGGTACTTTTTGTAAACCTCTATTCTAGGGCTCATTATAGCAATATCAGCATTAAATATGATGCCTTCAACCTTTGATCCCTGGAAAAGAAATATTATGATGGTCGACAAATGAGCAGCGTTTAAAGTCCTAAGTTTATCACATAAGATTTTGAGAATAGAAGGTCAAGTGCACTGAATACCTCAGAATCAATGAAGATAAACTTCTGTTTTCTAGTTGGTGTGCTAATTGATGAGGTAACTTGCTGTTTCTCCTGGACAGTGACCTTTGCTGTCCATTTCTCCATACCGACCTCAACATCATTGATAGATAATATAGTGCACATCCTGCACTCGTTAGCAATAATAAGAGTAAATAAGCAAGGGATTTCAGTTTGGAAGGTAAAATCAAAGTATAAGTTCTGAAAACAATAGCTAAAAACATTTAAATGTGCAAGCTACCTACGAACAGTGCAAGTGATCAATTAGACAACTGCAATATTTCATCAAACACAATATTTCTTATTTTGCAGTCAGTTTTGATTTCAGCAAAAGTTCCTGGAAGTATGAGGACTTTAACTGCATCAGCAGTCTTTGCTCTGGACAAGGCAACGTATAGTTGGCCATGAGAAAATACGGGCTCCTTTAGATATACACCAACATAGTCAAGAGTTTGGCCTTGAGCCTTGTTAATTGTCATTGCAAAACAAAGGCGAACTGGAAATTGTCTTCTGATGAATGGAATCCCATTTTTTTCATTATCAGGTGTCTGCAATGGGATTCTGGGAATGAAAATATTTTTCCCTTTATACTGACCAAAAGCTATCTCAGCACAGATAGTGTGCCGTCTTAGCTGCCGACAAATAAGTCTTGTGCCATTGCACAATCCTTCAGCTGGATTTAGATTTCTGAGCAAGATTAAGGGACAGCTTTCTTTTAGCATGAGCTTGTGTGGAGGAAGACCCTTTGGATTTTGAGAATTCAAAAAGTCCTCATAATCTGCCTGGAATCTCTGATCAACAGTTTGGTCAGAGCTTGTATAAGTAAAAAGCTGTCCAGGAAACCTCTGAATCGTCATTTCATTGATGTCTTCAACAGAGGTGTTTTTTTGGGTTAAAATACATCTACTGATTATCTCATACGGATTAGATGAGTAGAGATTCAAATCTGGAAACTTGTAAGCTATCAGCCTGGTCGAAAAATTTTTTTGTTAGAAATCTGTGAAAGATAAACGAAGTAATACTGATGAAAAAGGATAGGAATGTGCGATGAAGCACAGGAAATGGAGAGGACCTGTCTAAAGAATCTTTTATATTGTGGAATGGTATAACCATATGACCTGGTAAACAAATCTGGTTATCTGCATCAACAGGTTCTGCACCTTCCCCAACAGCGAGCAAGAATCGCGAAAAGGCAGGATCTAAGACAGCCCTCATGTTGTGTTTTAGCTTTATTTTGTGCATACTAGACCATAATGAAGAATGCAAGAGGCTAGCCTGAATTAGCTGGTCCTTGGTAGCTCCTTGAATAACGGGGAGAGTTTGGCGAAAATCGCCCCCAAAAACTACAACTTTACCTCCAAAAGGATCGCTAGTCTCCATTAGATCTTTCAACAATTCGTCAAATGCTTGAATAGTGTCTCTTTTTGCCATTGATGCTTCATCCCACAAGAATAACTTACATTCAATGATTAACTGTGCCATGCTGCTCTGCTTGCTCAACTGACACGTTTTATTTCTGGAAAAGTTCAACGGAATTTTAAATCTGGAGTGAGCAGTCCTTCCTCCAGGAAGAAGTGATGCTGCAACCCCTGAAGTTGCTACAGCTATCGCAATATATCCCTGCGATCTAAGTGTCGCAAGAAGAGAGCGATACAAAAACGTTTTTTCGGTCCCCCCTGGACCATCAATGAAAAAACTCTGGCCTTTGGACGAAAAAACAGACTGCAATATCAAATCATAAGCATGTTTTTGCTCTGCATTTAACTTAGAAGCTATCAAGAGATCTTCCGACGACACCACAATATTCATTTCACTGTCTACTTCCTTGGTCATGCTTTCATGACAGCCGAGAGTAATAGAATCTGTAACCAACTTATACTCACTGATATGCCTTCCCATATGCTGGAGCGATTTGTTAATATCAAATAGAACTTTCCACCTTACTTCAGCAGCTGAACAATGAGTCTGTACCTGCGCTCGTGCGAAGTCTCTAGAAAGCTCCATTTCAAATTTTTCCCACAAAAGACTTGGATTTGTTGGAGCACAATGCAAAAGCAAAGTAGCAAATAAAAATCTAAGCGAAGAAGGCATCTGAAAACCAGCAGCTTCTTCAAGTGTTGCCTCAATATAGGAATTAGATTCTAAGAGGCCAAGCTCTAAAGCAGCCTCTCTAAACGAATTCATTTTACATCCATTAACTGTCAACAAGTCATCAAAGGATGTAGGAGCGCGAACATGTGAGAGAAGAAGTCTTAAATAATACCTATCCCCTTCGCTTGGTTTGACAGTGACTAACCTGCCAATAACCTTATGCTTACTTCTTTCTGTCCACTTTCTCTTAGCAGGTGTCCACACAAAGTGCTGAGCAAAATCTCTATACAAACATCTGAGGCTCTGAGCTTTTTTGTTTACACGGTTCATTCTAAAGAACTCAGTTAACATAGTTCTGGAGAAGTCAATTTTCTCTAAGAGTTGTGAAAGATCAGAATCCTGATTGAAGGAAACATATTGGTGACCAGGAAGATGAACCTGAAGACTGTAAACAGCAGGGGTCATTTCATTCAAGCGAAATGCATAAATCCGCCACAAAGCTTCTGGAGGAGAAACCCAACGACCTCGCTGAAATTCCTTGATCTCATCGATATCCTGAGGTGTTTCATCAGCTATGATGTGGAAGTTGACAAGGTCATGCCCTTTAAATATGTATTTGTATAAATACTTGACTAATTTGATGGTCGAACAGATTTCGACATTGATGTGACAATCAATCAGAGCTAGCAAGTACGGAGTATACGGGATGACCCAGCTATTATCCAAATCATAGCCTTTGACTCGGATTTTCTTGCCATCGTCTCGCCTACGATAATTCGGATAGCTATCCTCGCCGTGAGTCGTATGTTCAGAATACCCTTTTGGATAGTGACTTTTGCAAACACCGTTTTTCATACAAGGGCTGTTTTTGTTCATTTTTCCACAAGGGCCATGAATCATGTGCCTTACAACTAGAGAATAAAGATGAGGATGTTCTTGACGATCAGGCAGTTCAGCAGAAACAATTTTATCATAGGCCTCTGGATTAAGAGGTTTAAACTGCGGTTTCAATGTAAGCAGTAGGTGAGCATGAGGGAAGCCTCTTTTTTGGAATTCAATAACATAAACATATGCTGCAACGTCTCTAAATAATTTCTTTGTAACCAACTCTGTTTTCAGGATTTCAAACTTTGCCCTGAACACTCTAGCTAAAAGATCAGGCCTGTCCTGAGGTTTCTCTTTGTACTTTAAATGTGCCTTAATTTCTGGCCACAGGGGATTGCATGTCATGGTCAAGAAAATGTCAGGTTTTCCATATTTCTGGACCAGAGCCATTGCATCAAGATATCTACGCCTCATATCCCGCGGGCCTCCAAGAAACGAAGCTGGTAAATATATTCGCCGGCCAACTTTAGAACCTAACGTTTGGCCTAAAGAGACACTATCCATTATTCCTTGAAGAGCTTCAGTCCGTATGGTATTCTGTTTTTTCCGGTGGAATTCAAGCCTAGATGTCTCTATCTTAACGTAGATATCAACAACATACTGCTGCAACAATCTTAGCGCATGTAACAACATGGACTCATCATCATGTCTCATCTGAAACCTATAACAGTAGTATTCCCTAGCAGTGACGTTAGTTTTCTGTTTCTTGCCACGATCAGCGGCTGAAACAAAATGGAACTACGTATTAACAACATGGAGAAATAGACAATATGTTTGAAAAATATGACCATGCCTCTAAGAAACTAAGTTTATACTTGCCTCTTTGTTCCAGATTAATCAAATCAGATGGACTACCGATAGATGCTGGATCAATAGCAATATCAGCTTCACAAACAGGACGCGATCTTTTCCTATTTTCGCACGTAATCCTTTGGATTCCATGGTGCCATCCAGATTCACCACGAGGAAATAATAAAGGACATTGTAAAGAGTCATAGCAAGCATAGTAATGCTTAATCATATGACTCTGATCGGAGTGACTATAAACCTGAATATGAACTGACTTATCAACTGATTCATCATCAGTCTCGGTCCATATAGCGGCTACTTGAGAAGCCGATGGAAGATTATACAAACGCTGATCAAGAGCAGGATTGCAATTAAGAACAATTCTATGGCGCTCGAGATCAGGAACATGACGCAAATCTTTAAAAAATTTGGCATAGGGATTGCCAGCTAAAATGCGCATAAGCAATTTAAGAGTGCCTGCGCGGAGCCGAGAGGAAGCATCAAGTCTCCTTGCAAGCTCCTCATCGGTATCAAAAAAGTATAACTGAATACCCGATGGTTTATGACGATGTGATACCAAACCATCGAGGAAGTGATAAACCTGGCCTTGTACACGAAACGTATAAACACCATGCTTATTTTTCGTCAATTCTGGATCATACTTTGCAGCAAAAGTAGTGAAAGAAACATTGTTGTTGTAAGTACGAGCATTTTTCCTGAAATGGTCACATTCTTCATCGTCGCCAATAAAGAGACAACGAAGATCATAAGGCATTGCTGCAGTGACCAGTGAAACTTCCCCCCTTGAACAGCAGAAATTAGGAGGTTCTAAATGGAACCGTATAGCTCCACAATACTGGCAATTTGGAGAATCAGGGAGAATCAAAGAATGATCTGGAATCCTGGCTAAGCGAGGGAGAATAGGTTTCCTAGATATTCGCTGCTGACCTGGAACAAAGGGCAGAGTTTTGATGTCTCTGTTTTATGGATACGCTGGACAAGAACTAAAGGTGAAAAGGCAATAATAAGAGATTTAAATGGACACAATTAGACTGCAAACTGAGCTGCATGTTTTTTGTAGACACAGGAGCATACCGTGACAATGTCACAGCAAGATGCATTCCCTATGAGTGAAAACAAGGTAAGATTTTTTTTAAAAAGTAAGAAGATGGGGACAGCTTGTAGCTAAGGGAGAAAGCAAGACAATTAGGATGGCGAAGGGAGTAATGCGAATCTAGCAAGACAATTACAATTATAAGGGATGAGCAAAACGAATGCAGATGACGAAGGGAAAACAGGCAGATAGACAATCAGGAGGCATTTTTAAAAACAAAGCAGGAGGGAAAAAGAAGAAGCTTAACGGTTCAATCTGAAATAACAAATGGCAGAGAGAAATAGGAATAAACAATGAGAAAAGGGCACTAAGGCCGCAAAGCTGAAAACTAAAGTAAAGCGCTACCTTGTCGAAAACCAGACGGAATGGAACTTGCGGCAACAGAAGAGGAAGCATGCTGGTCACTTTCCAACGGAGCAACTGTAGAGCTGAGAAGGTGCATTAGTTCAACACCCGCTAACACATTTTCTGACTGAACTCCTAAAGAATATGGAGTTCTACCTGCTAACGCATCACTACTCAGAAGATCAGTACTCTGATTAGAAGCGGAGTGCACAGAAGTAACAGGAATGCTAAGGACTGTTCCTGCAGGAGGTAATGGAGTTTGAGGAGTGGAAGCTAGACGTTTTCTGTTAGTAATGCCGGAGTTTGGCGCAGAATCAGAGGCAGAAGGGGGAATGTTTTTCTTCTTTGAAGCATTTGCCTCCCTGCGACGGCGTAAAAGATCATCTTTTTTTTCTTGCGGCATTTGTGTGTAACGACGCGCGCTAGCTGCCCTTTCTTTCTGGGGGCATTTCTGTATAACGTTTTCGGCGTTTTGCATTTCTATCCATGATGCAATATGATACGAGACGGCCGAGAGAACTACATAAATGGTTTACAGGCATTTCCAACCGCAGAGCAGGTACATTAGACAGGAAGTAAAAGGAAAAGAAGATAACGGGGCATATAAAAAAATGGAGGGAAAAGTAGCAAATCATTGGTCGATAAAAGGAGAAGCACAAAGATGAATGGATTAGCAAGGATAATGACTGGACTACAGGAAGAATGGTAAGTACCTTATCCGCTGAAACAAGGGAAAGCAGTAGCAGGTTGCAGCTGGCAAAATCTGGAAGGTTTAAGAGTGGACAGGGGAAAAAGCAATAAGCATCACAACAGTGCAAAGTGTAGAAGCAATAACCAAAAAAAGGAAAAACGAACATGACCAAGAAAGCAAACGATGCATAGAGTGCAGACACAATGTACGAGCACGAAGCCGACACCAAAAAAAGGAACAGAGGGCAAAAAATGGTGGGTAGCAGCTAAAGTTAAGCCGTGAGCTAAAAAATAAGAGGGAAAAATGCAATGAAAGTGAAAACGGTAGAACAAACAGAAGTGTACAGCAGTTAAAAAAATGCAAGGCGAATAATAATAGCATGGACAGGCAGAATAAAGCTGTAAGCAGGATTAGCAGGATAAGTAGAAGGAATTGGGGGGAAAAAGTAAAACAAAAGGAAAAAACATAAAGATTAGTACAGGATTAGGGACAGTGAAACTGGAGCAGCACTTACAGCAGATGTAACAGCGAGCAGCAGAAAAATAGCAGGAACACTGATTGAAGAAAGGCGTAGGAGGAAACAGAGGAGAAGAAAAGCGCGAGTAAGAAGAAGTGGAAGCAAGGTACAAAACGAAGTAAAGGGAGAAGAAAAGGAAGTTGAAATGCAAGGGAAAGAAACTGGAATGATTACCTGGCTTCTCTTGCATGCACCAGAACCCAGGAAAGCATGGCCGAAGACGTGCATTTTTTTGCATGGAGACCATAAAAATTAATGGATTGTTGGCTGCGTATGCAGAGAGGGGAATTCGCCGACCAATGGTAGAGAACAGGAAGGCGTCTGCTTTTAATGGCGCGATTATTAATGGTCTGTTTAGTTGGTATACTAATCCAGCATTTGTATTAGCAGTATAATAAGAAAAAAAAACTGTACTAAATATTGATTTCAAAGGAGGAGAGAAAAAGGGAAATAAAAAGAAGCAGGGGTAATAAAAAGAAGCAAATAATGGTTAGTAACCAATCTGAATTGAGGGGGAAAAAATAGAAGATAGATACTGCATGATGACGCATGACTAATAGTGCATGATGGGATGCAGGCCACGTGATTTGCACAGGAGTTGGAGGACGAAAGACCAGGAAGAACCCAAGCTCCATTCCCACTTTATATAAAGCTCTTTATATACAAATACTTCCAAAGTTAACAACCATAGTTTGACAATCTGTCTCCACCAATGCAGATGTCAAAACTTAAAACAGAGATGCTACGCCCAAGCGAAAGCATTCAAACGAGCCAATGCCTCCAAATTGCAAGGCTGATTGGTCACGGACTTTCTCCAATTTCTGCTGAATGAATTTTCTTCCTGGATCCATTACTATTACCTCTTTATTACTCCTGCTACACCATTAGCTGGATCATATGATCCATAAAAGATGACAACGACAAAGAAATTTCTCATTCTCAGTTGGAGTGTGCTGATGATGATCCATAAAAGATGACAACGACAAGAAGTTTGTTTGGATTGTGCATTATTTATCCAGTTTATTTACTTACATCATCATTACAATTTCCAATACACCTTTTTATCTTTCCAATTACCTTTTTATCTCACATACATCACATCACAAAAAGTGCTACAGTAAAAATATTTCAAATAATCCCAAATAACTTACAATCCAAACAAGATGTGTAAGTCATTCCAATGTACTAAAAAGCTGTTGGATTCTTGGCTCTACAGAGCTGTCGCCGCATACAGCGAACAAATTCTTCAGGTTTTTACTTTGTATTGGAGCGTACCAACATGGAATTCTATACTTGATGAACATTCCAATGGTACACTTTAAAGAATTTGATCAGCACTCGCAACTGCTTTCCTCTGCTGCTGTGCTTAAGGATGGCAACGGGGCGCGGTTGAGGCGAGGGACCCCGCCCCCGCCCCAGTTTCGTGCCCCGCCCTGCTTCCGCAGAATTAATAAAAATTTGTTATATAATTTTATTATAGTTAAATTTTAACAAATAATCAAGTACTAAAATATCAACATATCACCAAATTATTATTTATTGTAATTTTATAATTGAAACTCATAAAAACAATCAAACAAAATTTATTTGAATACAATCCAATATGATGAAATAAATACAACTAAAGTAGTCAAATTTTCACTTTTGGCACCAATATAATCACTAATTCATTATTGTGCTTGTGCTTTTTTTTTAAGAAAAAAGTGTTATTGTATTAAGTGTAATTAGAAATTTAGTATAAATGTATTAGTAAATTTAGTATAACTAATTAATAATTTCTATTAGTAGACATATATAATTATTAGTATAATTGATAATATCAATTATATTACACATATTAATAGACATTATATAATACATATAACTAATAATATCATTATTATAAGTTTATAACTAATTAAATTAAATATTATATATATTTTTTAGTGGATGGCGGGGTGGGGGAGTATATCCTGCCTCCACCCCGTTTCTAAACTGGCGGAGGGGGGGGGGGGAATCCCCCACCCCATTTAGCCCTAAATGAATTGTAATTTACCACTAGTGGTTACTGTTTCCTATAATTTCTGTAACTGGGATGGTATTCTGGTGGACTCTGAGGCCTTAATAGTAAACTGCAACTTCCCACATATCTGTGCCGCTGGGAATGGGAATGGTCAAAAGGCAATCTTCAGTTCTAAATTCAAATCCCTCATCCATCAAATTCAGGGAGCAAGACTTCGGTTTCAGATTGGAATATGCTCCAAAAATACCTGGACCTCTTCCTTTGATTCTTATGCCAAAATCAGAAAACTCGGTAATGACTTCAATTGCATCAGTAGCCCCTCCAGAATTGTACATGTTGATCAGACCGATCGGTGCAAACTCAACCTTCTTACCATAAACCTGAACAAAAAAGAAAAAATCATGGTCATGATGATACATTCATCCACAGGAAGAAGAGAGAAACTGAAGCAGGGATAAGATGGCAGAACCTTGATAGGTGAAACAGTAAAGATGTCACACTGCAACGTCCCTAAGGTGATGTCGAGCTTTCCATGCTTTGCAAGTCGAAAGAGTGATGCTGAAGCAGCACTAAATATGTCACTAGACTGTATAGATGTTTCATTTTTATCACCAGATTATATGTAACAAGTCAAGAAAGGTTTCTGTAATTCGTGTTTTCCTTTTTATCTATAGTGATTTGAGAAAATTGAACATCCAAGAACTTCCACAGTTGTTAACTCAATAGATTTGTATTACCTGATTTGAAGGAGAAGACTGCACAATCTCCCTTCCATGACTTTCCTGAAACCTCCTCAAAATAGTCAATGTCAGATGGAGAGATTTTTCCTGATATCTCAGGACTGTTCATCTTAGGACTGTCTTCCAAACCAGGCCAGCTACCAGCTCCTTGGCAGTTAAATATGCCAATCACTCCAGTACACTTGTTAAGGTTCCATATCTTCAGAAGGCTTGAATTTAAATGGTATGCAGGCAAGTCAGAATTTGAAATACCTCCAGATTAAAAAATCCGAATAAACTGATGGAAACTTTTACCTTTTCCCATCCATAACTGGATCACAAAATAGGCAATCCCTTGAAGGCCTCCCAGGGTACTTAGCTCTCAACACTGATCCATCAGGAAGCACGAGTCTTCGTAGTATGTTGAAGTCATGCTGACCAGGTTGATCACTGTCAAGAACAAAGATAAAGAAAGGATTATGCTCAAAACGAGACAATTCAAAGATATAAATGAATTAGGAAACTAAAGAACGATAAGGTACTAGCTTCTGTGCGAAAATGAACTTTGTAATTTTATATTTCTTGTCAGCATAGGCAGATAATTTAGCAGGAAAATCTAGATATCTAATGCATGAATCAAACTCCAGACCAGGGTACTATGCTGGTTTTTAGAAGTCATTGCAGCAAATTAGTCATAAGTTTCGAAAGATAGAAATCAGCACTCAGCGTGTATGGATGAGGCTGCTATAAACTACATGACACTGTTTAAGAGGTGAAGTTGAAGAAATAGCTATTGCAATCTCAGAATGTCATTCTTGTCCATCATCTCAGTTGAAGACAATGCAATACCAGGCAATTTGCAAAGCACAAATTGAAGATTTTAAACAACTGCACTACAAACCTTCCTTTAAAGGAAGTCAGATAAACTAGATAACTTGTAGTAAATGTCAAAAGTTCTAAACTGTGGAAATGAGTTTTTTCCTTTGGTTCAAAACAGCAGAAGCTGTATAAGCCAGATGACAAAAATTGGTTGCACATACCCAATGATTTTTATTACTTGCTGTCATCCTCTTAAACTGAATTTAAAGCTCAAAAAATACATGGACTTCGATCCAGGGGAAGTATACTTTTCTGTGTTCCTATTGTAGTATATGATCCTTGACGAGTGAAGATGTATATGCATAATGCTAGTATAAGTTTCTGCCTGACTCTGCACCATGCCAATTTAGTCATCCGAGAAAACAAATTTAAGGATTCGAATTTCATGGTTCCTTTTTTTGCTGCACCGATCCTAGCATTTTAACAGTTTAACCTTATAAATTAAACTCATCATTAGAGATCATCTCAAGGACACATTGCTTTATAGATCACATTTAGATTTCATATTGTACTATTTCAAAAGGCATTCTTCTTGAGATGATATCAGATAGCACATGGATACTTCATCTCTTGGGCTTCAGATTGTGTGTCCCCGAATTAGGAAGTTTTACCTTACATAAACTCCACATCCTCCAACAGCTCGAGCAACCGCGTGATATTCGGCAGCATTATGGCGGCTCTGCAAGCCATTGGTAAGAGAATTAAACTCACAAACCTTAGTTGAGACTTGCAAGAAATTTATTAATGATAATGCGTGACAGCTTCTCACATAGAACATGTCCCAATCTGGCACAACTACTTCACCAAAAAATATACTGTTATAAGCTACAGCAGCTATGTGGAGTGTTTGCGTGTTGGGATTCTTGGGGTAATAATCATCAGATGCACGCGTGATGGCACTTTTCTTTGAGCTGCAGCGGTTCAAATGCAACAAAAGTGTTAATAACTGTTGGAGAGCTAGAAGAAAATGGACTTTCAAGCATCAGTTTAAAGATTGCAGCCCAAGAAAATAAGCTCTTCATCCTTAGTGATCTCAGAGCAAAAGTTTACAATGTACCTGTAATTACTCATTAGTGTAGGAAAGATTTACCATATTCTTAAGCCTAAGTCATAAAAAGTATTGTCCAAAGAATGTCATCAGGTAATGAGTTTATTACTTGTAAATAGAATCTGTACTCTGACCCATGCAGCAGATTATGCCATTATCTTGGAAGTTCCTGGCAATGGACTCCTCCAAGGCTTGTTGGAAATGTTTAGTAAGCGAAACCCGGCCTCCTGAACCAGTGGCTACTGTTTCGAGGATATTCTGCACATCAACCTTAACTCCATCTACTCCTTGTGATGCAAGATATCTATGTAGATCATCATAAAATTCAAAAATTCTGGCAGGATCAATGGTGCCAACGCCGTACTTTTCCATGGAGTCCATAGCGATGTCCCTTTTATGTGCAAGATTTCCAGGTGATTGTACTGGGTACTTCAGCGTTGGATTATACTTCTGTGTCCCTGGAGCATCTAAATGGAGCCCGCCCCAGTATCCCATCAGTGCATGCCATACGTAGACATACCTGGGCGAGAAGATACGATCATAAGAAATCTAAACTCATCCTACACTCAAATAAGCAATAGACTCAGAGATCCATTACTTAGATACATGTAGATGGCGGAGTTTATGATGAAAGAAGTGAATCAGTCTTTCCTTTTTTGCTTGTTTCAACCTCTATTGTGCTAATTTAGATCAAGAAAGAGAGGAAAAAAACAGAAAGCAAGGGAAAGGGAGGCTAGTTACTTGAGGCCAAAAGTACTCTTTATATCTGAAATGAATTCCTTGAGACTATTCGGGACGCTGGAAGCCTCACTTGATGCCTTCCGGAACTTCATGTTCTCTCTTATGCTCATTAACCTGGCACCGAACCTGCATTGACGATATACAGAATTTCATAAAACTATATATTATGAACCCCGAACTGCAAGGAATAGAATGAGGAGACTTACTGTGACCCTTCAACAAAAGGCTCTTCTTCTTTCTGAAATTCATTGGTCGTGTCTTGCCACCCATCATCAATTATAAGAAATCTAGCAGGAGTGCCACCTTTTGACAAGCTGATTTTGTTTGAGAGTATATGAGATGGGAGTATGAAGAATACTGATTTTGAAGAAGGAAGAGGAAGAAGACAAAGACATAGAACAAAAAGAAACTGGAAATGTGAGGCTAATCCTTCAACCTTTTTCCTATTCTTAGATACAATTTTCAACATGGTGACCAAAATAGTAACTCATTTGTGATACTGATGTCTTTATAGCTAGCCCTTGCTAATACATAGAGCTGTTCATCTCACAAATTTTCGAGGGCAGTATTTTTTTGGATACAACAGAAACCTAAATCATTTGCTGTTTAAATAAAATAAACAACAAGCAGCTTATGGTCAGCTTGTCCATAAGTCAAGGTTTTAAGGAAGAATCAATTGAAAAGGAAAGCACTCAGAATATGTAAAACTGGAGGAGATATACCTGCTTAGCCCATCTTTGATTCCCTGAGGATTGACATCATGGTAGAATGCATCCCATGTACACCAACCAAACCAATCTAGCATTCCAGGCATCTGAAGTAAGAGAGAGGAGATTTTTATTTCTTAATAGGCGTTATCTCAACAATATAACTCAAGACTGCTCAGTGTGGCCACAATGCCACTTGCCTGTTTGGTCTCCCGCAGAGCAAATGTTCTGCTGTACTTCTGCAGGATCCTGGGCGTATTTGTAAGTAAAATCAGAATCAAAGTTTGGATACTTTTGTGCACGGTACTAAAGTTGGTAAAATCCAAGTCAAAATGGAAATCAAAGACATTTTGCAAGGCGTTCTTCTTAGAAATCATCATCTTATATTGCAT